CTAGGTGACCGGTGCGCGACCGAAAAAATCCGCCTGGTCCGGGTATCGAACCCGGGACCTCTCCATTACAGGTGGAGCGCTCTACCAATTAAGGTAACCAGGGGTTAGACGTCAGTAGAGCAAACGGGTTTGATCAGTGTATTTATGTAGGCGAGCAGCAATCTGTACTCGTTCGGACAGTATAGTTGCCAGAAGTTGAGAGGCGAGCATGGCGCATCTTTTTTGCGCAGGCAACGCATCCTCAATCTAAATGGGGGGTCACATGCTTGAAAAAAGAACGGGAAATTGCGCGATTAAACGAAAAATTATAGTTTCCGACCATTTTCTTTTTTTTTTTTGTAAAACGGATCCTCAACATCTTAAATAGGCTTTTAACGAAACCATATATTTCATTTATGTGCAGTTAATGCCCTAGTTTCTCAAAAATAGCCTGAAACAACTTTTACCGAATTCTGTGCAATTTCTTGTTATAGACTGAGTCGAAACTTATACAGAAAACATCAAGAGATAAGTCGAATAAGATTAGCTGAACCTGTAAATACAAATCGCAGATTTGTATTTTAATCGGATGGCAATATTTTTCGTTCTCAATGCCGGGAGTTTGGCGGGCGCTTCAAAATCAGCCATCGAAAAGCGCGATGCATCTCGGGAGATCCGGCCCGTCTATGACGTCATCGCGTCATGCAGGACTAAGCGTACCATGGTTATGAGCCTTTCCACTTGGAGGCGTCAACACGTTCCAGTCTCGCATAGTTGAAGTACCCGAGGGCTGTATGGGGGGATCGTAGAGCCGGCGGAGCTGCCACGTGTGCAGAGTGTCGATTCAAAACCAAACCGAGCCGAAAACCGGAACCGAACCGTTATTTTTAACCAAACCGGAAGTGAACCGAACCAAAATCTTCGTCGTCATCTTGAAACTGAACCAGAAAAAAAAACTATATATAACTGTAGCCGGTTCATGGCATTTTGTTCATGGCATATTGTTCGCAAGTGTCCATGGCAAATTGTTCGCCAAATTAATGAATTCAAAAAGTTTCTCCTCTCCTTTATTTCATGTAATAAATATATCATCGAGGAAACTTTTACAAAAAAGTGGTTTGTGTGGGACAGCATTTAACAAGCGTTCTCCTAATACCATCATATAAATGTTTGCATATGATGGAGAAAAACGTGACCTCATTGCTGCGCCGTGAATCTGTAGGTGATGGTTATTGATAAATGGGAAGTTATTAAGTTCTAAAGCTAAATCCATAAAAATGTTTAATACATGTTTACTAATAGTAAGGACAGTGTCCGACATTGTCCAGAACTGCTTGTGTTCCCTCATCATGAGGTTTATTTGTATAAAAAGAGACAACATCCATATTTGAACATAATTGACTACCAGATGGCTTCCCCCAGCCATTTTTTACTCCTCGCACCTATTGACAAGTCAGTTCGTTTCGAATACCATAAGGTATATCGACAAAATAGCCAGACACAAAAAAAGATCCCAAAGGACTTTTTTAACACACATACAGATTCAACAATATATATTTATGAAAAAGCAGTTAGGGCGCAGGCGAGCTGGTGTAAGTTTACCATTTTCTTAGACCACCTGAGACTGGGTGGAAGAAACACGACGACGTCTGACGTCGTCGCGTTTCTTCCACCCAGTCTCAGGTGGTATAAAAAAATGGTAAATATATATTTATCAGACAAATATACGAGCATGGAATCCGACCATTTTTAATTTCAAAATGTCTACTTTATGTCGCAATTCAACAATCACTCGATAATAATTTGCTAGAAACAGAAAATCACGATGTCTTAAACACTACCCCAACGTTGCCAGTGATTGTTATATGGGAGCGATTACATTGCATAATTAAAAAAGAAAAAGTGACTATCACTAAAATACGCAAGGCAAATAGAGTCGAGATTAGCTTGGACTTTTTCTCTCCCATTTTGGAAAAATAGAAAAGTATTTTCACACGCTCGTTAAACAAAAAAACAATATATCGAACATTTAGAATCCCTTCCGGACTTGGATGGAGAAAATCTTGGTATTTTCAAATTATTCTTCTTACAGACTTTCCCGTAATGAAACTTTAGTTTTCACTAAACTATTAAAGTTTTTTCCTACTTCCTGTAACAATAGTAATGACTTGGAATTACACAAAGGCTTCGATGAATTTGCACGACAGCTACACTGCACTGTCTTTTTCAAAGGAGCGCCTTGCGACAAACCGTTGTTTAAACGAAAATCATTTTGGAAGCCTCCACTGGATAAACAAAACGATAACGTAAGGAATTACGTGGAGGCTGTTCAAAAATATATTTTATCCGCTTATCGGAAGCAGAAAAAAATCTTTAAACAGTTTAACATATCAAGAAAGCCAATGTCTAAAAAAACTTGCAGATAATAGAGACATTATTATCGCACAGGCAAATAAATGAGGGGCGTTTGTATAGTTAATACCTTTGACTACATTTCAGAAGGAACAAGACAATTAAATCACACAAAATATTATAAAATGTTAGACTACTATCCAACGAGAAAACTCCACGACACAATAAATAAAAAAAATTAAAATGCTTACAAAAACACGAACAAATAGACAAAATAGTTTTAAGTATCTACTCCAAGAAAATCCTAGTCCTGGACAGTTCTACATGCTAATGTAAGTACACAAACCTAACCACCCAGGTAGACCAATTATTTCTGGAGTAGACACAAACACAGAATATATCTCCGAGTTCACTGACGAACAAATTAAAAGTATTGCCATAACACCTCCTTCATACATTAAAGATTCGTTTAATCTCCTGAATTTAATTAATAATATTCAAATCGATTTATATTCCAATAGCGTATTACTAATAACCAATGGATGTCGTCTTCCTTTACACTGATATACCTCATGATGAGGGAATACAAGCAGTTCTAGACAATGTCGATGACACTGACCTTACTATTAGTAAAAATGTATGAAACGTGTTTATGCATTTAACTTTAGAACTTAATAATTTCACATTTAGGAATAACCATTACCTACAGATGCACGGCGCAGTGATGGGATCGTGTTTTTCTCCATCATATGCAAACATTTATATGATGGTATTAGAACGTTTGTTGAATGCCGTCCCACACAAACCACTTTATCAATAATGCCGCCCGCCCGCGGATGTTACTTATGCGGTTTGTGCAGGTGACTTATACGGTCAGGGAAACGTAGCTAGGGGGCTAATCGTAATAAACAGTCGGATAATTAATGAGAATTCTTTAATTACATTTCTAACCTTTTTAATATGAAAATAGACATGGTTCTAATTAGACACTTGCTGAGCGTCATCGAAAACCGCTAAATCGGTCATTTTCAGAAACACTGAGCCCGTGAGAAGTGTAATAGTGCACTAAAGTTACTGCTCGTGGAGCAGGTACAAGGCTAGCGGTTGCAGCCACACAAGGTAAAATGCTGTTTCCAGAGCACTCTGCCGCACAGTAGTTTGGCATCCCGCCATTAACTCGCCGAAAATTATGCGAAAGGAATGATTTCAATACAAAATCATGCAGAACAAGCCGCAGAATGAACATTGTCGAGCCGGGAACAGAACTTATGGTGGCCAACTCTGCTGAGTCTTTTTCACTAAAGAGCGTCGGTATAGCGTTAAAGGGGCCCTCCGGAGCTTCCTGAGATCGTCTGTTTATGTTGTCATATTGCGTAGTAGGTGCAAGTTAATATGTATACAAAGTTTTAGATTATAAAACCATTTATTAAGCAGATGGCAGTAGAAATATATCGGGACTATTTTCTCTTGGAAGACAATCCCCCATTCCCTGCCCATCACTAAAACTTGACCAATGAAAATGCTGCATCTCGTGGTGAAAGCGAACGTTATTATCGCAACACTTTTTAAGCTTGTTGTACATTAGAGTTTGAGAAAAACGTAAACTGATTGTGGTGCGAGAAACATAGTTCGCAATTATCGTTCCAAAACCGGCGAACTATGTTTTCTCCCCTCAAGCGTGTTGCTAGGGTGTGATGCGTCAGCGCGTCGGGTCGTCTGCTTCCCGGGGCGTGTGCAGGCGTGCGTTGGCGGGACACGTGTTACTTCTTCCCGTGAATCCCGACTCCGAAGCCAGCTTTGCGATCCTTCCAGGTCAACGAGTCAAACTTTTCCTTGTCATCTGTGGAATGCGACTGCGTATCGCAGTAGCAGCGCGACGGTGCGGTGCCATGAACGACGACTGCCGAGCACGAAGTCCGGGCTCCTTGACGACGGTCTGCGCTTGTTCGAGAGATTCCTCCGCGCGTCAGCGGTCGGCCGCGTTGGTGACGCACAGTGAAGCCGGAATGGTTCGCTTGCTATTGGCTGACGCGTAAAGAGATGCCCCTCCCATTTCCCGGGGTCATCTCAGAAAGGGAAGCGTGCCGGGGCCTTTGATAGCAATTTTAATAGGGAAATTGGCCGCGCATGACCGTAATTTTTTTGAATTTTAGGATCCTTAGGGCCCGTAGATTGAGTTACCGTCATAAACAGACCATCGCAGAACGGTCCGGAGGGCCCCTTTAAGGCCTTACTAATCTTTAGGAGTGAGCGTACTTCCCGTTGTGACGCTGCACTTTTTGATCAGATTCTGTCACGACATTCCATCAAAGCTTAACAGACATCCACCATAAGGATTTTGGTTATCGTTTAATTCAAATTTAGGAGTTTTCTTGCGTTTTGCTGCGAAATATTGGCGTTTGCGGAGTCCTACTGCAACTTGCTTCATTTTAAAACAAAACAATGAGCTCCAAAATTTGGTTTCTTTACCCCTTTAAAGCCTGATTCACTTGTTGCAATTTCGCTTGAGATTTCGCTGTCGCGGCGTTGAGCACCACAGCTTCTATCACGCTTTTTTGCCACACGAGCGATGTCCCAAGTGCAAAATCACAAGTAAAAACGCACCACGTGAATCAGGCTTCAGTCCGACACTATTTTTATTTTAATCAGGCAGACCAAAGCAAGTCGCGTGGAATATATTAAATGTTTATTTATAGCAACAATGTAAATATTTTAACACCATGTTTCGTTATGGCAATATAGTTAGAACAGTACGGCTGACAGTACTGAGCGCGGACCACAACCTAGTGTGAGAGTTTCACGTGAAAGGAGGCTTCAAAGTATGAATAGTAAGAGGATAGTTTTGGGTCATCACAACAGGCAATAAAACGTGCTTAAATGGTAGATAGTCAACTTCAATCCCGCGCCTAGCTGAGTTAAAAATGGCTTCCAAGGTAATGAAGCTGCCTAATTCTGACGAACAGTTCAATGCATCCCGAATTCGGCGCTCTATCCGGTAGGTGATCACAGTTCTTGAATTGGCCTTTTCGCTGCACCTGAAAAGAAACAAAAAAGCGAGCAATTTAATAAAATTTTTTTACTTTAAATTTAATATAACTTTCGTTTGATTACATTCACCCGAAATGCAAAACTTTCCTATAAAAAAAATAGGCCATGACAATTGTTGGGGACAGTATTAAAGCGGAGCTTTCCCCCGATCCACCTTAAGGCGATATTGGAAGGGGGAGGAGAGGGGGGGGGGGGTGAGTGGCTGCTAGCTGGTTTAATGAGCGCCAGCACTCCTGCACATTTTTGAGTTTGGTTGTAAACACGGATCGCAAAAAAGTTGGCGTCTGATTGGTGTTCGTAGCACGATTTCCCCATTGCTGATCTATTAGATAGGAAAGATTCTGCGTAAATTGTTGGCACTTTTGTTTTATGCTGACCACATCCGAATTAACTTAGTGTGTGCATACTTTACTGTTTTATTTAACCGACTTTGCTTGCTTGGTTAACACCAATAGCAGGTTTTTTCTGCTGACTATGCAGGATAACAGATATCACTCGTAATAACCATTATATGCCAATAAGTTTTTTTTTTTACGAACTTTGGAACTAAAAATAAGTTGCAATGGTAGAATGTGGAAGGTTGGGGGAGCTTAATCTAGATCAGATCACTAAACAATAGGCCCAAGCTTCCTTGTTCGACGGGGTGCCCGCGCTCACTTGAGCACGCTTCCACATTTTCATACCAAAACATTCTTACCCGATGATTTCTGAGAACGGTGTTCTAAAGCGCTACCAACAACGAACCATTTTCACATAAATTTGACATTAAATTACGAAAGCTCGAAGTACGGTAGGTGGAATTGTGGAGTAGGTAGGTGAGGTAGAACAACCCTACTACCAGGCGCCAACAGTAGTTCAAGCTTTCGCCGTTGCGTGAGGAGGGCCGGAGCATGCGCAGATCTCTTCTTCCATTGGGAGAGCACGTTGCGCTGTTCTCGGGAATGTAATGGAGGTGCGCCACAGAACTATCCCTTGCTGATGCTCTGAGACACTTCTGGTGGACATTGCGTTGAAGAGAATGTCTGTATCGTTGAGAATTTGACGAATTTGTCGATCAATATGAGATTCAGTGTAGACTAAACGGGTGAGCTCACCGGACACAACCAGGACGGCTGGTGGCGAGGTAATGGTCGGGTGCTGAGCATCTCCAGTCATCTCGCAGACCCAGGACCCGTCATCGCGTCCGTGCTGCGCGCCGGTGATGGCGAGGCTGCAGTCGCCGCTCGCGTGGTCTCCGGCCCAGGTCAGGTGAGGCAGACGGGCCAGGTTGAAGCCGATGTTGCGGCCATCTTTGAGCCAGAGACAGTCTCCGACCGCGCCCTGCACGGAGCAGCGGAGCACCACGTTGCTGCCCTCGGGAACGATCTGCGACACCGGGACCTCGGTGAACTGCCAGCCGGCCTCCGCTAAAAACGTAAAAGAAGGGCCATCAAAGCTGTTCAATGCAACAGGAAGCCAGCACACTCAAAACCAGAGCTTTGTTGTGGTTCTTTAAAGATGAAGACAAGCTTCGGCCTTTCAGCGGGTGAGTAAATGCAGCCCTACCCCTAAAACCCTACCCCTCCCCCACCCCTAAAACTTGATTACTTTGATTTGACCGCGTGACACGGCAAGTTCAGAGACATTACTGTGGAGGCATCCTATGAGATTTGACATTAAATTTAACAAAATTTTGACAAAGTTTAAAATAGAACTGACGCACACCATAGTAGAATAATAGAACTGGAGCACTCCATAGGGGCGAACTCGGAGACTTTGTTGACCGTGAGGAGGAGGAAAACAAACCGGTGGAGCGCGTGCAACACATTCTTGCGTGAGCATAGAGGCTCCTTATTCAGGTGCAAGCCTCGAGATCCTCAAGCAAGCTGCATTCACGACACAAGCTCTTGCACAAGACGATCGGCCTCCGATGCCCAGTAGCTTTCGTCGTGATGTCGATTAAGAAATAGTTGTAGTTCAGCTTTCCCTCAAAGTGAGCGTGATAATCGGCTCTCGTGATGACTGCAAGCTTCTACCGTCCTCTACACACACCATCAAACATGTCGTTGGAATTTGATGATAAGCAACCAGGATCCCAGTCATCGAGGCAAATCTTTGTGACGTCGATGGCAAGAACCATGAGAGTGAGCCACCAACAAATATCACCGCTAATATGATACCAGTGAAAACAATAGAACTATTATAACGAAGTGGCACAGAATACAGTGGTAAGAGTGGTGTCAATTGTTAGAACGGGTAAGTGGACAAGAGTGGCTACTATAGTGGTACACTTGCCTTGTGTGGATGCCGAAGTCGTCAGACCAGCAACCCAGTCTAAGAGCTTCTGCACGTTCTCGTCGTCGACCCCCTTTCCACCAGAAGTGTTCAGTAGCTTCATGTCAAACCAAACTCCCTGGCCCTAATGGAAGACCAAGTTACTAAAATAAAGCTTTAAATGTAAGCATTCAACAATTAAGATGAAACATCTGGTTATCAAACAAGCAAACTGAGTGCCAGGAAAAGCTTGATTACAAAAAGTCTTACCGTAAGCGCGCTATGTGTTCCCAAATAGGGAGGTTCAGTTTGCTTGCCGAACTGTTCCATCATCTGTGGGACAAACACATACAACAGGTTAAAATTCTCGGAAGTTGCGTACGTTGTGCGTGGTACATTTCTTTGTGTACGCAATACTTTTAGAACAATATACACATGACCTGGTTTATCCAGCAATATCAGTAATCATAAAGCCCGTATGAGTCATTTATTGCTTCGAATGTTTAATCCCGATTCGTTTTTGGAGCTTTCAAAACATTTCCGAATATGATTAAAAGCATATAAACATTTTTTTATCAAAATATTCGTTTAATATTGCTGACTATTCACATTTTCTAGCTTCAACCAAACATTGGAGCCTCCAACTCAATGAAATTTAGCCCAAGCTCAGCAACCCCTGCACACAACCAGTTGTCAATAAACTTATTTTTACACTGCGCTCTCTTCTCGGAAAATTTAAAACACTGCACAGTCGCATGTAGAAATGACAATATCAGTGTCTATCAGGGGTGTAGCCAGGAAGGGGGGGGGGGGGGGCTTATGAGGCTTCACCCCCCCCCCCCCCCCTGAAATCCCCAGCCGACCCTATAATACACATTCATTTTGACTTCTCTCTCCTCTCCACACTTAAAGTCATGAACATCCCGGGCACATCAGACCCCCCCCCCCCCTTTTTCTTGAAAAAATTGCATGCTACGCCACTGGTGTAAATGATCGTTATCTTTTATAATGTTGACATTTAACCAACTGCATGTTCCTAGAGAATAATGTTTAGCAGTGTTAGCTGCTTTGCCACATTGGAGTATTTTGAAATCTTTAAAGAGAGATTAGAAATTAAACAAGTCAGAACTTACCCTGTAGGCTGCCGGTAGGATAGCTGGATCAATCCACAAAACCTGGAAGGGCACCGCAGTTGCGCTCGTGGAGTTGGTGACGTTCTTCAATGTCTTGTACAACAAGCGAAGAAGATAGCCTCCCAGCGGTGTAGATTGCTCCGCAACCGCGAGCACGTTGACACGAGTCGGGTCTTCAAGCTGGAACAGAAGAAAAATACATAGTGCAACTCAAACATCCATTTTAATGTATGTAAACTATGATGTATGCAAGCTTTTAACCTGATCACATTCAGAACATGCGTGCTACCTTACGCCAACAGAGCTAATTATGACGACGTCACAAGGGACATTTGCAATAACCCCTCCACTCCCAAGAAAGAAACAACAAAACGTAATGACTGATGGTGTACCTAGCAGAAGCTAGGAATAAGAATAATTAGGAGTGCATATTATTTTGTGTTTTTGTTCGTGCTCAAAGAACGTAGTCAATTTTCGAACCGAAGGACGTGAGGCGCACCACGGCTGGAATAGACCAAACGTTTATAGTTCAGCTTCCCCTTTGTATTAGATTGGCTTTTTAGTGAACACATAAATTAAAAAGTAATGTACAGGTTTAGCAAAGGCTTTTCACAGCAAAACAAGTTTAAATCATTCGTCCGTTAGAAAATTAAATACAGTCACGTTTGGTTGTTTCACCCCAGCCCATGGTTTAAAGACAAAACGTAGCAACTAGAGTGTGGCTATCCGCCTACTATAGTCCAGTGGTAGCTATTAGTGCCCCTTTTCGGCGAAATCCGGTCGAACGCTGAATCCCACGCGTCCGCGGGGAGAGCGCTTGGATGGGAAACGTGCACGTTACAAACAGTATAGCCATTAAAATCCATACATTCTATACTGGTTGAAGATTATCCGTTGTAATTAAAAACTAGGACCATGTACCCTCCACCCGATTAAGGGTTCAGCCATATGCATGCATGCATGCATAGATCCATCCATCAATTAATCCATCCATCTTTCGAAGAAACAACAGCTAACACATTCTTTCCTTAAAAATTACAAGAATATCTGTTGGTGCATTCTTATGGAATGCATTAGCATGACCCTTTGAAACGCCGCACACGTCCTCCTTTGAGAAGCGCTAACGCTGACCCCTTCACTTTTTTTTCTTTTGACTTTCTTTTTTGCTTCCTCTATTTTTTGCTGCCTCTTTTCGGGCTCGTTAGGGGGTCAGTTATCGTTTCCCAAAGGAAGACGTGGGTGGCGTTGCCCAAGGGTCATGCTAACGGGTTCCCTAAGGATCCATTAATGGTCTCCCTCTAATCTTTTTCACCATTTTTTGCACTTTGCCTGTCAGAGTACGTCAGGAAACATGATTGCGCTTTAAGACAAGGACAGAGTCGGAACAGACATCACAGAGCGCTCTGTGGTGCGTTCTTCCTTTGTCATTGTCTTAAAGCGCAATTATGTTTTCTCGCGTACAATGACAACTCGCCCAACAATCAGCACTTGTCAGAGTACGTTGACGCCCTTGGATATTGTCATCCCTATCGCTCGTGGAAATAACCACATCCATACCACTCGTGGAAGGAACCGCATCCATCGTTTTAACTACACACATACATCACGGCCCACGCGTCGCTGCTACGGAAACCCACAGCGAAGAACAACCGGCGAAGACAGAGTGGCAACTGCGCGCCGCGGCACCTCCTAGATAACGAAGCCGTAGTGCTAAATGAGATGGCATCATCAGAAGGCCAACGCTAGGCACAGATATGACAAGACGATTGAGTCAACGTTCGGCTCAGCGCTCAGTCAGCGCTCAGTCAGAGCGCAGTCAGAGCTCAAACTAGAAGAAGAGCGCTGACCCAGCACTCCTTTCCAATCTGTGTCCAGCGTTGGCCTTCTCTGATGACGCTATCTCGTTCAGCACTACGGCTTTGTTGTCTAGGTGGTGTTGCACGGCGCCTTCACTCTGGCTCAGCGTTAGCTGTGCGCGTAACTTTGACGAAAACGAAAGGTATCGTTTTCGCGAAAACCCTGCAGTGTCAATTTGTGAGCGCCGGGGTGAGAGGGAGAGGTTGGCGGGTGCTGACAGCAGCGCTTCGGATCAATGGAAGCGTCGGCCGCGTCACCCTCCCCCTCCTTCTCCCTCTCCCCGGCGCTGACAAACGAAAGACACCGCCGGGTTTTCGTCAAAACGAGCGTTCTAATGCTAACGCAGTAATAACCCTACCCCCCCCCCCCCCCCCCCCACACACACACACACCAAAAAAAACCCGTTTAAACAGGATCGATTGTCTGCAAACTGAATTTCAGGTTTCCAGCCAGAAATATAGTTAGATTATCTGTTTTTTAATCCAGTTAATACTGTTTTTTTTCGGTAGGAAACAACGTTCTTACGCGCCCCTTTTTGCGGGTATGACTTTAGCCCAATCAACTTACCTTGGGATCATGGATATTGTGCTCGTCCACTTTGACGAGACTGATGTGGTCATGTTCTGTGATGAAGGCCAGAATGTCATCCACGTTGGCGGGCTGAGGGTTCAGGGTACACATGGTGAGTGGAACACCCCAGCTCTCTATCGGGGCATTAGGTTATCGCTACGAGATCTGAACACTATTTTCACCCGTTTTCGATTATTCTCCTGGCGGCTGGTTACTTTGATAAAGGGACTGAAACAGGTACCAAAACCGAGAGCCGTTTAAAAGTTTTTTTTTTCCTTTTTTTTCTGCAACGGCAATAAAACTGATTTGGAACTCACGTTAGCTGAAACCGGGAATAGTGAAACGGTAACCGATATATTATTATAGCGGTTCGGCACTAACATCGTTTTCGCCGTCCCGCAAAGCTCTCCGCAACCCGTTACAATACCCGGAGGAGGAAACACTGTCTACGAAAACTCCCATCGACTAACAACCTAGGGGCCAGAACCTGAACAGTCTCGGTTGTTGCGCATTTCACCGAGAACTCTGGCATTTGCTCAGCATATGAAATGCACTGTTTCGTACCACGCGCATTACGACCCGTTAAACGTTCTGTACTATGATATATGGCCTTTAATATTACATTAAAAAAAAAAGTCTGAAAGGCTTTGAATGAAAATTAAGGGAGGCCTGACAAATTGACTTTCAATTTTTACGTTATTTACGGTTTCCCGCATGCCATCCCTACAAGGTTAGCAGTATTAACGCTGGTTCTGACATTACCGAGTTTCTTCTAATGACTTGCACTTAGAGCCTTAACTAACTAAACAAAGGAGAACAGCCTATACGTTTGATGTTCGTGCGAGTTGGTGCTTTTGCTCGCCCGTTTTTTTTTTTCTCATTTCACTATCTGTAGGACGTGAAGTCGCAGTCCTACAAAATGGCTACCATTAAATGCAAATGTACTTTTAGTGAAATAAACACGTTTATTGCGTCGAATGGGGGTAATGATCTTTTAGAACGAGAGTCACCCAATAACTGAAGCTTTTCTTTACAGCAGAGATGTCAGTAACGTCCTAAATGATCAGCAACTAACAGGAGCAATAAAATAATCAATTTTCGCGATGTGCTGCCTAAAATGAAAAATCGACCTTTCTCGCAGAAAACGCATAGCAATATTAAGTTATGTAAAAATCGAAACTTATTAAAGAATTGATAACATGCAGCAGTGACTACGTTTACGTTAATTTCAGATAGTAAAGCACATCACAGATAGCTTATATTTTTTGGGGCTACATCATTCACGAATGAAACCAGCAAACGGAGCCAACTAGTGTGAAATCAGAGATTCAAAGCATCAGAGGCGGGAGAAAATCGGGAATTATTTGACATTGTACGCATTACAGGGTCAGTTTGGTAACTTAGTCTATAGTTCTCGTATTTCACGCACGTTCAAACAAGCTGCCCATTAAGTATATCAAATATCTGTAATAGTGAAAAACCGATCCAATAGAGTATAGAACTTGTTTTATTGGCGTGGGTAATCAAAATCACATTAATGTTTTTTTATTAAAAACATTACAGCGTCAGTCAAATGAATGGAACGAAGTTCAAAAAAAAATTCGGCTCATTTAGTATGGTACAAAAATTATATCACGGGCACCGCTTTGTGAGTAACATGAAGAGGGTCAAGAAATATTTCACCTCACTAAGAAACATACTAACACAAAAGAAAGATTTCAGTGGATCAATAAAAATGTTCAAGTTTACAAAGCAGAAAACAGGAACATCCACGAAGTGTTAGATGTCTCTTCTTTTACAGCAGTTTCTAGATAAAACACAAATCGCTCAACATCTGTTCGCTTTTTATAATTTCTCATAACTGTTGATTGAGACAGGTTCCACCTTGGATATCTTTTTGTAAAACAAATTAACTAAGGCCCAATTTATGAACAATTTTGTGACACGTCACAGATCGATTTCAATTTAAAAATGGCTTCATTAATTGGAAACATTTCTTTTTAAAATAGTTTCATTAATTGGAATTGAGTGAAGTGTTAGGTTTACTAGAGCAATATGTACGCCGGAGCGCATGTTTAGCCCCACTCTACGAAAGTTGGGCTTTTGAATATAAAACATGATAATGTTTTATATTCATATAAGTGTGATTGTCTCGAACCAAAATAAACCCGTCGCATGGGAACGCTAGATAGGTAACAAACTATAACTTCATAGTTTTATAATCAAAATAGGAATAAAAACAGGAAGGACGTTCACAGACAACCACACTCAGTTAGCAGCGGCGAATGTTTATTTTCTCGCACAAAATATTGCGCGTCGACCAAGATCCAGATAAAACATGGGAGAGGGCAAAAACGAATGGTTATAATCGTGAGGGCAGATGAAGACCGAGCCACCGTACCGAGACTGTCCATGTTTATGAGTTTTCTAGTTCTAACCGCACATTGAAAGAGCGGTTGTTTGTGAACGCCCTCGGTGTTTTTATTTCTATTTTAAGTATTCATAATTATAACACGCTCGCTTTAACCAGAAGTTTTATAATTACCATTACCAAAAAGTTAATTTATTTTCCGTTTATTTTTTTGCACTGTTGTAGTACATGCTTGGATGGAACAGCGCGGATGAACAGTCACACTTATATGCACACAAGGAGACATTCTTGTGTGCATGTGAGTGTGACTGTTCATCCGCGCTGTTCCATCCAAGCATGAATTACCAACTTGCCCAAGCATCCACAGTGTAGAACATGCTTTGAATATTATAAGATATTTGCTTTTCGTAAAAAAAAAAAGACCTAGATTATTCGAACACTCATATTTAGTTGTGGGTTGTTAGTTGACAAAATCATTTTAAACCTATGTGTAGTGAAGAAACTTATAACCGCTCATATTTTTGTTTGTTTTTTGAAAGCGTATCATGTCGATAGCGTTTACTTACATTTTTCGGAAGTATAGTAGGCAACTTGCTGAAAGGACTGTAAATGGCAATTTGCCCAACCGTGTCCAGTTTCATGTGTTTGGCAACCTAAAATAAAATGTGAACCGTTTCAGTGAAGTTCTTGCGATACGAGTCACCAAAATTCCAGCAATTCGTAGCACGCCACCCCCTCGATACTTACATTTCGGTCAAAGACAGCGTAGCAATCCAACGCCCCACCCTTGGCGGCGCACGCCTCTTGATACATAGCGAAATCTGTAATAGAAAGTAAAAATATTTTGATCCAATGAACGTTTCACCCAGTAAATATATGGTAAGCTCTGACGCTGTTGTCCTCTAGACTTTTGTCTTCTTTTTCAGTCGCGTAACCATTTGAGATTTAGTTAATAAGCAAAGCAGATTACGAGGAGACTTAAAGCTTATACAGTAATATTATAATAAACTCAAACCATTTCGCGGAGATGTTTTGTTTGGTAGCGAACGTTTGTTGAGATTTCAGACTAACTTCTTTATTGTTTTTATTATTATCAGTTTCGAAATAATGTATGACAAAGAGATTCATGCTATTCCTAAAATGCTTAACTACCTTCGCGAAAATTGTGCATTCCGGCAAACGAAATCGGTATATTTAGGAAGTACAAGGGTCAATCCGCGGATCATATCTTTGATTTAATCTAGGCTTACAATAAAACCGCTTGTTTGGGTCTAATGGGATGTAACATAATCTCAAACCAAATTTGTCGAGGTTGTACCTAATCAAATTTACGCAATTGACATCGGGTTCTTCATAACTTTGCCGCTGAAATTATGGCGTGTCGCCCAGAGACCGAGTTCTGATGCGAACTTTTCCCCTACAGACGGAGAGTCGGGTTCACTGCGACGACGGATCGATTGGCAGGTGACGACAAATACGATACGACTGCAAAATAAATTGTTCGCGTTGTCCAACTATATTCCGTTCACCTTTAAGCTGAGACTAGAAACTCCGCCTTCAGCGGGAGCTTTCTGCCCTTGCTAACACAAGTGTGAACGCGCAGGCACCCGCAACCACAACACTGCGGAAGCCAACGAGCTCGCGCTGAAGGCGGAGCTTCTCAGCTGAAGGATGAACGTAGTATAGATGGCTAGATTTCTTGCGGAGATGCATGCGGAACTATAGACGAATACGAATAGTGCTAAATTACACAATCCTCAACGAGAATGCTGGGAATGTAGGACTACACGCTGCACGTTCTGGCATCTGCAGCATTGACTGTTCCGAAGCAAAATCTTAAAAACAAATTACATCTCGCTCGCGCGTTCGTCAACGCCTTATTTATGTTATTTCGAATCATTTATACGGGGAAGACGAGCGTGCGGCGCGTAGACCTACATTCTCAATATTTTCCTTCATGTCTGGGTCATTTAGCAATAAGTCTATTTAATCCTTCTCTATCAAAAAGGAGAAGAAAAAAAAAAAACGCAGCATTCAGAAGTCGGAGAACACAAAACTTTAAAAAATATATATGCTAGTGCCGGAACCCGCGTACGTTTGCAGTGTCCAGGACATAACGGCATTATAAATTGCGTTTCTTTTTAAGCTTAATAGTTTTGTCTAAAAAAACAGCTAATTAAGTTACACTAATGCGGTTTGTACAGGTGAGTTATACGACCAGGAAGACATGGTATAGGGCGATAATCTTAACGATCAGTCGGCTAATTAACTCAAATATGTTAACGTTCTAATTATTGGGAAAAAAACATGGGGTTCAAATTAGAAACTTGTCGTGCGTCATCGAAAACCACTACACAAGTCAATTTTAGAAAGTCTGAGAACGTGGGCAGCACGGTGGAGCGCTCAAGTTGCCACGCACTCGCGCAGCAGGAGCGAGGTTACGGGTGCGATAGCGCGCCCGCCCGGTTTTTCCGCCTCTAAAGGCATGTTCACACACTTATAGCCGAGTACGACTGAGAGAGACCTGACCGGTCTCTCTCAGTCTAAGCGAAGCTGGTCCTAAGACGTCGCGAGAGGCTTAAAAACCGGTCTGGTCTCTCTCCGTCCTACTCGGTTGCAAGTATGTGAACGGAGCTTAACCCGCGTTGTCTCACCCCATCCTTGTGCCGGTCGCACGAGTGGTAATTTTAGCGCACTACTACTGCGCATCCCACGAGCTCGGCTTTTTTTTTCTTAATTATTAATGTAGTGGCTTTCGATGAAGTTCAGCAAGTTTCCAATTGAAACCTTGGGCCTATTTTCGTGGATTAAATTTTAATTTACAATTTTTTAGTTATTATCAACTATTATCAGCCGTGACGATTATCCCTTATATCAAGTCCCCCGGCCGTATAACTCGCTTGTACAACCCGAATTAGTGTATCTTCCATTGCCTTTTTTAAGACCTGTATGTATAAAGCCTAAAAAGGAAAACCTTGTATAATTATGGAGACTGACCCGTGGTGCCGTTGATAAAGAATCCGACGACCTTTAAATGCAGCACTTGATCAAATGCAGCCTTGTCCACCTTCCCGCTGATGACTGATATTTTACGATACTTCATCTATAATGAAACAAGATTCAACATCAACGAAAACTAAATGTTACGGAGACCAAACACTGTGCAGAAAAGATGAGACATGTGCTTACATTTGATGTGTGTAGCAACAACTGAGATCTAGATAAGCCATTAACGGCAACTTGTGATTAGGTAGTGCCCGCATGAACAGCGTTACATATACATGCGCCTCATTTAAGGTATTTTAATTTGTATTTGTATTACTATGCGCTCGAACACGCTGGTGTCTGCGAGGTGCCCTTGATTAACAAGAAACTTATATCTCAAAAGAAAAAAACATACAAAATAAGACAAAACATGCAGCGGTTTTTTTTATTATTATTATTTGCATCTTACCGGCATTGAGACAATCGATTAATTGTTATCGCAAACATTGCTTGTCTAAAGTAATGATGAGCACTGCCAGTCCGGAACATCGGAAGAGAAGTCTATACCACCAATTTTACAAAAGGTGCCGGCTATTTAAAGCAGGCATGCGATTTTGAATGCACGTGTTTACGGAATCATAAAAAGTGTGAGTATAGTTTACTTCCTTTAAAAAAAGTTAAAATAACGCCTAAAGGTGAAAAGCGCGACGCAGTTATCACGAACAACATATCCTCAATTTTTTTCTTCTTTACCACAACTAAAAACTTCGTTATCGAAGCTACTGTTATAAAATGGACTCTTCCTGACTGCAAACAAACATGGTGATATTTGGTGATCCTCTTCATTCTACACGAGTTAAATTTAAAAGAAAAGCGCCGACGTCGATATTACGCATCTCTATCTTGCAGTTTACGTGATTATTCCTTCCTCTATTGTTTGCTACCCACTTTTCTTTTTTTCAAAGACAAAACTGGGACTAATTTAACAATAACTGTGCCGATCAAATAGAGCAATTCGTTGCTCTTTTAGTTAAAGAAGATTCATACCATGTTTCTTCGCTTCAAAAACAATAGCTTACAATACTTTTTCTTTTGTATGTGTTTGTCTGTGTGTGGGGTTTGGGGGGGGGGGGGGGCAGAATAATATACGTGCCCCATTAATACCTACACCATTTGTTGTTGTTTTTTTCTTGTTATTCGTTCAACGGGCATGTTTTAGCAACGCACTTAATATTGCACTGAGCCTATAAGATAATTACTCTGCCTTGACGGACTAACCGCAGAAACTACAATATGCCCTTTCCGAAATTCAGTCTAATCAGTATGGTCACTTTGATCACTATCATCTGAGAAATGGCCTATGTGCCTTAACAATAACGGCCTTGTGGTTACTGATTATGGAAGGAGTTGAAGATGCGAGGCCTATACATTCGAGACGTAAGTACAATGCGACGCAGGAATTGAATGCAAGAGCTGCGTAAGCGTTCATTTCGGACTCTGGTCCAGTCAATCTGTTGGCGGCACACAATTGGCTTCATAGCTCCATGGTGTATGAACTTCTATCACGGCGTCAATGTGGGTCGGTGCTTCGTTCTTACCGGTTGCATATTTATCACCATCGAAACAGATATCCAGAAAGAATTGTAAGGTAAAGAACACGAAGGTGATAAAGAGCACGAACGTGGAACACGAACTGAGAAGGTGGTTCCACTGCATACGTCGTGAAACAAGCATTACCCATTCAATTATCGACCCGTTTTACTAACAAAGTATTCCCCTAAAATCATACAGCGCATACTGAACTCTCATATCTTTAATTACCTAGAATCAAATTCCTTTTTTGCCCCTGCTCAACATGGTTTCCCTGGCTCATTTTCATGTCCGTCGCAGCTGCTTTATTTCACCCATGTTTTGCACGCTATACTGGACAGCAATTATCAGGCTGAATTCATTTTTTTCTGATTTTTCTAAATCATTTGACAAGGTTGATTATGAGCTACTAATGCTGAATCTTTCTTTATTAAACCTAAATTGTAATTTGTTAACATGGCTGGAATGCTTTCTTATCATCCGCTCTCAAAATGTAACTCTTAAGAGCAACAATTCTTTCCCGACTGATGTGGAATCGAACATACCCCAAGGTTCGGTTTTATAGCCCGCTTGTTTTTATAATTTTCTAATATTTCTTAATGATTTACCAAGTTGTGTTTCTCCCTCCATACATTTATACGCAAATGACTCTGCAACTTATCGGGAAGCTCATTATGATGACGATGAACGGCTTTGACAATCTGATCTGGATAAAATTGCCCTTTGGGGCAAACAAAATGGCGTATGGAACCAAACCATAACAAATGCAAACTAATGCGGGTTTCACGGCAAGGCGCGCGCCCTTCAGTACATCATTGATCGACGTTTAACTGGAATCCGTAAACTCATACTGTTATCTAGGTGTTACAGTAACACCGACTTTAACCCGGAAAACTCGTGTCGATATAATATTAGCCAACGGTAACCGCATGTTAGGATACCTACGACGAAACTTTCAGAACGGCTCCAGTTAACTTAAAACGCATTCTTTATAACAGCCTTGAACGGTCTGAATGAGAATACGCAGCCTACATATAGGATCCAAACCAGGCCGTTCTACATAAAGCTCTCTAACTAGTTCAAAGTGACACCGTTCGTTTTTCTGTCTAACTATAATCGAACAGCCAGTATATCAATGAAGTCCAGTTTGTTGTTACCCTGTTTGTCATTGCGTAGAAAGTTTTTTTGACTTTTGGCTGTTTCATGAAGTGTACCATCAGCAGTCGTTACGAGACCATTTATTT